GGTTGTAATGATCAAACTATGGAAGTTGGAGGGGTCAAGCAGTTTTCCCAGGGCCAGGCAGTTGCTGGTGGTAGAGGTGGCATTTGAATCCAATATCCATCATCTCCAGTGTCGGGAATACGCTAGGTGTGTATTCTCTTCCAGTAGTTTGTAATTAAGAAAAACCAGCATGTGTACAAAGACTTTTAAAGAGGAAAATGACAGCACGCCTACCAGCCATGACTCACAAGTTCAAGCTACCTCTTTGTTCCTGCATGGGTGAGAAGGGGTAAGCTTCTTTTCACCCATCACTAGAGTCAAACAAACAAGAAAACAGGATGGAGTTAATCAAAGTTTTAGGTGAGAGAAGAGTGTTCAGAAGGAAGGACTGAGAGGTGTGGGGAAAATGTACCCTTTTATGTCAAGGCTCAATGAAGATCGACAGCTATGTAGAAATTGGATTGGACAAAAAGGCTGTGGTCTTACATACTTGCGAATGAGAGGTAAACTCAGCAAAGAGCTGTTTGGTTTCTTTTGCCATTGAAATGAAGGTCATAGAAGTCACACACTACCAGTCAAGGTAGGTCAGAGAATTTCTTTGTAAGGATTCCTCACATAGAAAGAGAATTTATGACTAGCCTTGGGGAAGAGGTTGTGGCTTCTGTGACAAGTGGAGGGGTAGGGTAGGGACAGGAGGCAGAAAGGGACTTCACCTCTGAGGCTTTTGCACTGTCCTTCCATCCAAAGTGTTCAGCTTCTGTTGTCTACTGTCCTATTAGTTATTTTTAATTTATTTAAATTAGAAACAAGCTTGTTGTACATGTCAATCCCAGTTCCCTCTCCCGCCCCTCCTCCCCTGCCCCCCACCAAACCGATATCCATGCCCTTTCTGCTCCCCAGGGAGGGTAAGGCCTTCCATGGGGGATCTTCAAAGTCTGTCATATCATCTGAAGCAGGGCTTAGGCCCTCCCCCGTGTCTAGGCTGAGGCCCTCTATGTGGAGTGGGCTCCCAAAGTCCATTTGTGTGCTAGGGATAAATACTGATCCACTACCTGGAGCCCCATAGATTGCCCACACCTCCAAACTGATACCCATGTTCAGGGTGTCTGGATCAGTCCTATGCTGATTTCCCAGCTATCGGTCTGGGGTCCATGAGCTCCCCCTTCCTTGTTCAGGTCGGCTCTTTCTGTGGGTCTCTCCACATTAGTTTACATTGTATAAATCAAAAACATTTTATATTATATGTTTACATACACACTACACACACACACACACACGCACGTGTGTGTGTGTGTGTTTGTGTGGTAAAATTTATTAATGTGGGGCCATTCAAAGACTTTACTTCTCCACTCTCCTGTTAAGATGAGCCTTCGAACTCTGTCACTGACCTGTCTCCTCAGTCCTTTCTTCCAGAGTGAGCTCAGGTCAGCCCAGGGCTGATGTGGAGGAAGGGGTGTTGGGAAATTCCAGCTGGAAAGGTAAAGGCAATTTGTTCCAGGATGATGGGTGAGGGGAGCAAGGGGTGGGAGGAGAGGAAAGGGAATAGAGGGGAGGATAGAGGCACAGAGACAGTGAAGAGATGGAGAAAGGGAGGCCGTAGTAAGGGAGTCCTTACAGGTAGACAGAGAGGGTAGAAGGAAGCAGAGTGTGGGGAGCCTGGGAAACAGACAAGATGGGCACGGGTAGCCTAAAGGCTAGGGTAGCGAAGACAGTCTCTGGAGAACTGGGCACGGGTGCAGGGTGGGTTCAAGGGTGTGGGACTAAGGCAGACACAAGGAAGGCAGGGAGGAAATGAGAGCTGCAGCAGGTGCTGCCTTTTTGGTTCCTTTTTCAAATTCTCTTACTGATGGAAACATTTGGACAGGATCTTGCTACATTGCCCTGGGTAGTCTCAGATTACCACACACCTGCTGCCCTTTCCCCAGGGCTGGGATTACAGGGGTGTACCATTCTGAGTTTAGGAGCTCTTCTGCCTGGTTGCCCTGAACCTGTCTGTGTACATGAGTCTCTTCTGTGGACTGTGGTTTTGTTAGGCAAGTTCGTCTCTGTGTACACAAACTCACATTATGCAGAAGGTCCCTGGGACCATCACTCCGCTGCGCCCTCCCATCTCCACTAATAAAATGACAGCAGTAGCAACCACTGCAAGGTGGTTGTTAGGGTTAGACATTAAACACTCTTCCTTGAATAACAGTGTACATTATTTAACAAAGATCCTAGAAGGCAAAATGCAGGTCCTATGGTCTGACTCCCTCCATCTACTTGTTGAAGCTCTTGGCCCTGAAAACAGACTACCAGACAGCCTTTTCTTTCTCTTCTCAGGCTGATCCACTGCCCCAGGCTGGTCACACAGCTTTTAGTTCTCATTCCTTGTTTTTCCCAATGTCAATGCATCACCAAGGCCATCAGTCCCTCTTGTCACTATACCCCCCTGTGCTCCTTCATTCAGACTGCTCACCTGACTCCACATCTCACGTGTACTCTATTGCCTCGGCTTCCAGACCTGCTCCCCACTGTGGCCTCTCTTTGATGAGGCCACCCTAAGGCTGCCGTCAGGAGTGTCTAAAATCTCACTTTATCCCATGTGTTTCTACCACGGTCTATCAATGGCTGCTTCTTGTCAGCAGGATAAAGGATAAAGCTGCCTTCCAGGGCTTACCAAAGCTGACTTACTGTACGTCCAGCTTTCCCGGCCTTGCGCACACTCTAATCCTGTTCCTCCCTCTGTCAGCCACATCTCTTCTGGTCATCCCCAGTCAATGCCAGTGGCTGGCTGCGTCAGCCATTCCCCTCTCCCACAAATGGGCACCTTTCAAACCATGCCTAGAGCCTCCTTTGACTGTCTCAAGACAATGAGATCACCTGGATAAAGAGGGAAAAAAGAGGCAAACTTGAAAGTGGCTAGAGACTGAGGCAGCTGCACACAGGACATCACTTGACATGGCTGACTAAGAGGACCACTCATTATTCTTTGCTTCATTAAAATGGCATCCCCATATCATTAACCTGGTAAAATTGCCTATTTCTACTATGCAGGTGATATCATGCCACATATGGAAAGCCCCATATGAGAACAAGCAAACAACAACAACAACAACAACAAAACAGGAGAAATTTGACTGGGGAAAAGCCCATCCCATTCTCTGCCCATGTCCCACACCATTTAATTCAAGAATAATTCTCTTGTCCATTAAGATTCCCCATGAAATGAGCTGTCCAACACTGGACAGCATGATCTCTTGAGAAGCCTGCATTCACACCCTGAATGTGTACCTCTGTCCTGTAATAAGTGTCTCCCAGTTGATCTTTCTGTCCGCCTGCCTCTCAATTCTTTCTCTGACGGTGCTGGGAACCCGGAAGCACTGAGTGAAGTTCTCAATCTGGTCCCTCTATCTTTGAAGCCTACCCAGCCTTGACCATGGGTAACAGAAAGGCCATGCTCAAGAGTCTGTGAGTTCCATCTTCCCAAGAAGGTGACCACCTCCTCAAGCCCCATCAAAGGCTTCAGACCTCTGCATCACTTCACAGAAGGCTACACAGAGGTCCTGGGCAGTGTACATCTGGCCATTTGGGGATAAAATTCCAGGTACTGCCCTTTTCTTAGAATGGGAAAAGTAAGAATATAATTTCATTCGAGGGATGATTTTTTGATGACCTACTATGTGCTGGTAGAGTAAACACAGGGCTCAGCATAGTGCTTGGGGCGAGCAGGCACTCTGCAGATGATGGCTATTTTCATGCTCGCATTTGCTAGTGCCGTGAGGATGAATGAGACAATGCACTCATCTTCAGTCACTGTGCACCAGGTATCCTTGGCGCCCCAACAGGTCCGTGCTGATCATCAGCGTTCTCTGAACACTGTTCCCTCTGTGCCCACTCCTGCACCGGAAGGCATGGAGAATGCTGACCGGAACAAGACTGAGGAACCAGAGGCACCCTTCCACCTCCCACGTGCCCTTGGCCGCCTGCTGGAGAAGAACATGCCACATGCTGTCAGCTTCCTTTCCCGCCTCTGGGGAGCAGCACGTAGAAGGGCATCTGTCAGGACTCTATGGCCCACCCCAGGGAGCCACCCTGCCAGCCACCCATTACTCCAGGCCCTGTAAGTGCCAACCTGAGCTGAGGTGACTCTGCCCTGCAGAATTAGGATTTGTGCATAACATATTACATTTTATATGTAAAGCTATCTGTCACAGAGAATTTGTCAGACCCCGAGAAGGCCAGGACAGCTTCTGTCTGTGAGGTGAGAAATGTGTATCCCCAATAGTCAAGTCACCACAGACTACTCAGAGGCTCTGACACAGGCCAGCTGCACTGAGGACTCCAGCTGCTCCCCTGGGTGGGTGGGTGGAGAGCAAAGTCCAGCTTTAGGACAGAATTTTCAGGTTGTTTTCACACCTCCTTCTCGATCTCCTTCCTTTCACTTAGCTTTTCCACAGTGGTTGTAGTTTAGCCTTGCAGCAGATGCCAACATTTGCAAGTAAGATACACACTTGTCAGAAAACAGCCCTTGTTTCAGAGTGCTGACTCTACAGGAAGGAGGGCTTCACACCTCCCAGGAGAGGCAGAAAGCAGATCTCTGGTGTGAGGACTGAGGGGCAATTCCAAGGCTGCTTCCCTCCTACAAGGTAAGGACAGCTCTCATCAGCAGGAAGATGGCACCTACCAAAGCGGGCTGTGTTCAGTAAACATTCTTCCGATCGATTGTCTGGGGGCAGGTGTTTACTCAAGCCGTGCTGTCTCAACTTAAAACATTCTCTCTCCCTTTCTCATCTACAGAACAGACCAGAGGATTTTTTTGGGGGGGGTGGCTTTTGTTTGTTGGTGACTTTCTAGATAGATTTGCCTGTCACAGAAGTCCCTTTGTTCACCAGGTATCGGTAAATGGCTTAGGCTGGTGACTACCACCGTCCCTCTCACACAGAGCACAAGATCTCCTGGTCCCAGCAGGCGTTATCAAGAGGAGGGAGAGTCACAAAGGCCTCTCTTCCCTGCGCCCAGGGGCTCAGAAACTTGCCTACCTTTCTCTCCTTGTCACCATACTCCACACCCAAAGTATCCATGGCCCGGACGATGGCTGCCAGAGACTGGATGGTGTTGCTATAGACAACAGGCTTGTACTGCTTTACGTCCTCTCCAGAGAAGCCATCTTCATGGATGATCCTGCAGGAAAAGCACAAACCACACCTGATGAGTACAGTGTCCTCAGTCCACAGACAGCACAGGGCTCGCAGGTCACAGGGCAAGCCCTGGCCGCACAGAGAGGAGAACTGTGGGAGAGCTGGGTCTTGTGGGAATGGATTACTCAGTTGCCTACCCGGGTTGTAAACCCAAAATAAAACAAAAACCCCACTTGTTTGAGTTACTGAATAATAACCTGAAACATAGAATATTAGGAAACATTACAGTCTTCACACTCTACACCCAGGGAAAGGGACAAGGGGCTGAAGACAATGTTGAAAACGCTGCAACAGGAGTGGCAGACACGATCGCTCAGCACAAGCTCACTGTTACCATCTAGGAACACTGGGGGGGGGGTGACTTGTAGGCACTCAGAGAATACTGCTCAAGATACCTGCAAGAATTCAACAAATGAAGATAGGATCTCAATCTCTTGTCAATCCCTGCCCCTCCCACTGGTGGGGACCAAACCCAGGCTCCAATGTACTGCTAGGTGAGGACAGTGCTCCAAGGGGAGATGGCAGCCACACCCACAGCTCACTCACAGTGCTTTTAACGAAGGTAGGGTGATGCCTGGCTTAAATGAACAACCACCCTCGACCTTTCACATGTAAGATACACACCATAAGAGGAAAAGCCAGCAGAGGATGTTTCCCTACTCTTCCATAGCTGGTATTAGCTGGAGTCACCCCGTTCTGATGGATCTCAACAACTGAGAGTCCACACAGGGGACACCACAGATCAGAGGTAGTGTGACACCCTCTGGCAGCCTTTGATACATGCTCATAGCTGACAAGGATCCTGGCAAAAGGAAATCACATCCAAACTGCAAGACTAGTCTTAAATGGAAGTAAGGAAGGAGAAGACAAGTTTTAAGGACAACATCAGGGGTTATTTGTGCTTTGATAGACAGTATGAATCATTTTAAGGTCAGGAATTAATACATGTAACACACGCAGGATTCAGTAATGAGAGCTGAGCCTTCCTTCTACCTCATCAAAGCTCCTGTCCATGCCTTCATTACCTCCTCTCTGTCCTGGAGAACACCACAGACAAACATCTTGAGAACAGCATATGAGATTAATTTCATATGCTGCTTGCCTAAACCATGCAGCTCAACATCTGTTTTTGCAAATTCACAAGATTGGGCAACCATAACTGCATTCTAACTATAGAATGCCTTTTCCCCTTTCCCAAAGTAGCCTTGTATCCATTACCAATCACTCTGCATTTCCACTGCAATCCTAAATCACCACTAAACTACACCATTTCTATAAATTTACCTAGTTTGGGCATCCAAATAAATGAAATTATATGATATGTGTGTGTGTTTATGACTGGTTCTTCCATTTAGCAAGTCTTTTTAAGATATGCCCATGTTACAGCATGCCTCAGTGACTTGTTCCTTTTTATTGCTGAATAATATTCCTTTGTATGGGTTTGCTATCATTTAGTCATCCAGTCACTGGTTGACAGACAGTAACTCCTGCGGCAAAGTGAGAGTTGGTGCTGGCTATGGGTCTCCAATCTGAATTTCTCCAAGAAGCAGAGCAGAACAACTTTGTGGACATTTTGTGGGTTTGATTAGTGCTAAACCTGTTTTTATAAGCACTTATTTTTATTTGAAAAGATTTATTTTACGAGTGTTTGCCCGCATGCATGAAGTGAACCACGTGTGCCTACTGCTCCCACAGGTCAGAAGACAGCACCAGATCCCTCAGAACTGGGGCTACAGGCAATTGTGAATTGTTTTGTGACTGCTAATAAATAAGGGAACCCGGGCCCTCTGAAAGAAGAGAAGTCACCCCTAACTGCTGAGCCATCTTTGCAGCTCTTACAAAATCTTCTTAATGGAGAACATAGTCAAACGATCCACAGGTTTGTGACCCCAGAGAGTCCCAGAGGGAAACACTAGCTCTCTGCATAAAGTCGGGGAAGTGACGAGAACAGATGAAAGCAGTATGTTCTGACAGTGGACCACAGGCTGGGAAGGTGGCTTGTGGACTGCATACACTGGGCAGCACAGCACGGGCTGGAGGAGCCAGGCGCACCACAGGGCTCGTGGGCTGCAGAGACGAGGGTCAGCCCTCAAAAGTCAAGGCATCTGGAACCAAGAGGAACTGCAGAGAGAGTTTCTGGCATCTATGTGGGACTCCTGGGGGGTCTCTGGCTGAATAGATGAAACTCCACAGCTCACAAAGAAGAGCACAGAGAGGGAATGAGCTTCAGGGGGCTTGGAGGTGGACACTTGCCAGCACTCCACCAAGCCAGGAGATGAACCTCCCAAATGCCAGAGTGGAGTCCCTGGGGACTCTGGAGCCTTCAGCAGAGATGCCAGAGGCCACAGGAACTAGGTTAAGACAGCTCTATGGCTCCCTGAGGTCCTCCCGACAACGCTAGAAAGCAAGTCTGAAAAATACAGCAGCCCACACTAACTTAACCCCTCAAAGAATAACAGAATAAAGACAACAAACAGCCTTTAAACGAGAACGACAAAATCTAGACACTCAGCAGAGTAATGTGCATGGCACCACCCTCCAGGGGAAAAAGTCCCAGCTCTGCAGACAGCAGGGAAGTGTGGCTCACAACTAAGAGAAGCATTAGCTAACTATAGTAGATTCAGAAGTGATACCATGACATGGTATTGCAAACCATCTACTTTAAATATTTTTAGGACATTAAAGGAGATTATGAGTATACTTCAGAGAGAAATGGATGATACAGAAAATGAACAATAGGTGACATTCATGGCAGATCAGACATGCAGAAGGCTGACAAACCTGAAGACAGACAAGAGCTATTCAAATGGAGGCAAAACGGGAAAAGGGCCGAAATCACCTTCAAATACACACATGCATGCAAGACTTCCAGTAAAGAAAGGGTGGGGGTGCGTGAAGAAAGGTGCATGTAAAAGAGTGACACATGACTCAAAAGTAAATTAGAGTGTGCGAGACACACATGGGAATGTCAGAGCAAACACAACATCTTGCAGTCTCAAATACAGCCAAGATCTAATTTTTTATGAACAAAGATAAGCAAGTATGTCTATCTTATTAATATGCAAATTTAACCTTTAATAAATGATAATACTGTATGATTTAATTTTAAACTTTTTTTTTTTTTTTGGTTTTTACGAGACAGGGTTTCTCTGTATTGTTTTGGAGGCTATCGGTCCAGCCCGGCCTCGAACTCACAGAGATCCGCCTGCCTCTGCCTCCCGAGTGCTGGGATTAAAGGCGTGCGCCACCACCGCCCGGCTAATTTTAAACTTTTAAAATGACTATTACCATTAAATGTTTAATTTGTTTACTTATTTGACATATCTACACACCTGGGGTCACATCAAAATTTCTCTAGCAAAGAGGTTGCACAGGGAAACATTGGGCAACCGTTCTTTAGATCCCCAGCTGGCAAAGGGATTTCTTTCCCCACTGGGTTGGAACCATCATTTCCAACACTAATCTTCACACTCATCACTGAGGTAGGGAGGCTAGGTTTTCTTATATCCATCTGACAGAAGAAACTGACGCTGAGAGAGATTAAGCCATTGGCCCAGTGTCTCTCAGCAGATCCATGACAGAACTAAGGCCAGAACCCAAATCTCTAAGCGACCAGTCCTTCCGACCACACCTGGTCCACCCCCAGATAGGCAAATTATTGTCCTATCAAGTGTCAGCCTGGTGTCTGGTGTGACCCAAAAGAATGATGCAGAAATGATGCAATTTGGGGCAGATGTTCAAAAGTCATGCATGTTATTCCTGGCAAATATTAGCTTAAATTTGGCTTCCTGAGATAAAGTTTTACAGCATCTCTGACTAAACAGTCAGAAGACCTGCTTAGCCCAAGAATATGTTGTGGTTCACACTGGGCAGCAGTGAAAGTGTCATCCATAATCCCGACTCCAGTGCCAAGCTCTGTAGTGCTAAGCTTTTCCATGATGTTTTCTCACACACTCTTCCTCCTCTTGATTTTCTGAGTTTAGCATGTCATCTTTGTGAATATCAAATAAAGTCCCCTTATTTTCTGTCTCCTCATATCATTCCAGTGAGGCACAGCATCGACAGTAGCAGCTCATGTGACAGCCAGGCCTGATCCAACACCACCTCTGCTGCTGAAGAACTGTGTACATCCCAGGTAAACAACTTAGCTGCCCAGTCTTGGTTTCCTCCCTGGCAAATTGTTCTGGGAAATCAGAGAGGTGAGGCAGAGCATATCTGTAATCCCAGTCCAACTGGTGGAAGCAGGGGACTGGTAATTAATGGCTAGCCTGAACTACAAGAGACCCTGCGTCAAAACCACAAAAACCAAAAACCCAGAGATGGCGAGAGAGACTACAGTGAAGACACTTCAAATGGCTGCCAGTGGGAATTGTAGTTCCATTCTAAAGTCAGTCTCCAAATACAGTTTCTTAAAGTTCTGGCACAGAGGGCTGGCACCCTGTGCTACTCCACTTGCTGCATTTCTTCTAATCTTCAAAGCAGCCCTGGGCTTAATAAGAATCACCAGCTCCTCTTTACATATGAGGGGACAGGCCCAGTGAGGTCAGGTCACTTCCCTGAGGCATACAGCTGGTGAACCCACGGGCAGATGGAGAGAGGCAGGGCAGCTTCCCTAACCCCATGCCCTCACTTCCAGGTTCCAGAGGTCCCCAGACTGCACACACGCATGCACACATATACACAGTGTTGTGCATGTACACATGAGGATTGCAGTGCCTGTCTAATGTTCTAAGGGCCCGGAGAGGGGGCTCCTAAGAATCCTCAGAGGTATACCCCAGGGTAGTTCAGTGACACAGGATGGCTCCGGCCTGGGTCCCGGAGGCAGCAAGGTTAGGGATTGGAAAGCAGAAGAAAGACTCCATGAGCCAGCAGTCCCGTGTACTGGAGAAGCTCTATGCAGACCTGCTGAGTGAATGTACAGAATTGAGCCTCAGTGATGTCATGTGAGTTTCTAGAACCATCTATGCCTGAAACTAAAGCTAG